CTCACTGGTTCTTATCTCTCACTGGTGCATTCTCCTGATACATCCAGAGCTTATGTATGTATCATGATGATCCTGAAAGTTTGATCTGGACTAGTTTTTATTCATCTTAAGGGGCACCCATGCATTTCCTAGGCAGGGTCCCAGGGGGATCTGCAGAGAAAGTCCAGGGAAAACGTATGTGGCTGATTTTTGTTAAGTTAGACTTAAACTAAAGAAAAAAAGGGGTAAATTGATACATGGTCTGAACAAAATTTTTTGTTAGTGAAATGAGACAGAGTTCTTCAGCTCTGAAGCACAAAGGGATATTTTGCTCCTATCGGCCACAGGCTACCCTCAGATGTGTCAATCCTCACCATGTGCAGTGGTCCTCAAGGGAACCTGCTAGGAACCCACTATGACCATTAAGTAGATACTGCTCCTCTGGGGGACACCACAGAGGCTAATAACTTAGTGCTCCAACCACGCATGACAGCCTAAAGACTGTCACCAGGAGAAACAGACATGTGACAGAGATGCACTGACCCAAGGGTAACTCCTGGGGAAGCTAGTGCACATCCAGTCCACCACACTGTCCTCAGAAAATTGTTCAGATGGTATCTCACACCTGACCCAGACTACCAAATCAATAACGGGAACCTGTGCCTCAAGGGCCCAGCAATTCTTGGATGAGCAGCCACCTAGGAACTTCAGCTGGATTTATATATAACACCTAAGAAACTGACGCTTGCAAGTATGTAACTTAATGGCAAGGTCTCACCAAAAATCATTTGTTCCTGAGATGGCTAAAATGGGGCACTTTTGATTTACCTAAGTTGGTTTATTTGCACACTAAATTAAAAAAAGCAGGCTTACGCTCAAATAGCTAGAATGGAGACATTTTAATTGGCACCTGGAAGCCTCAAAGTAAGGGAATGATAAAATGGCTTCATTGCAAGAGACAAATCATAAATTATCAGAAACAGTGACTAGATTAGAAAAGACCCCATAAGTCATCACTGCTTCTCCTCCTTTCTCTTCTCCTTCTTTGGCTCTTTTGTATCAAAGGATACAAAAGGAAGAACTTGTGGAATCTAAGGGAAAGGACAAAGACACCCCTAAGGTAATAGTCACCCCCTTTAAGGAGAAACCTACACGTAGAGGGGAACCTGCTTTTACCTTTACACCCTTGGACTAGGACAGAATTTAAGACCTTAACTAAAGAATTTCCAGATTGTTCACAGGATCCCTTGGGTTTTGCTAAACAATTTCATCTTATAGTAAGAATTTACAAGCCTGGATATTCAAACTTACACCAGCTTATACATTTACCAGTCCTTGAAAGTGCAAGTAAAGCAATGGAATGGCTCCAAGAGATAAACTGGAAGGCACCCATGGAAGATTTTCACAATCATGAGTCTGCAGATCACAGGAAATGTAGAGAACTTGACCACAATTGGTATCAGGTTATTCTGAAAATCTTCCCCACCTGTGGGGTAGGGGGTGGGGTTTGATATGAAAGGCAGTGAGCTGAAGAAAGCATTTTGGTATGGATAAGCTGACAGAACCTGGCTTTTGTCTTAGCTGTGTTTGAAACCTTGAACTAATGGGATACTGTAAGAAGAATCAAAAAGCATTGTTATTAAATATGTAATTTCCTTTATTCCTCTTTGCAATGGGTGGTATTATTTTCATTTAAAAATGATGAAAGGAGAGACTTGCCTGGCAGTCCAGTGGTTAACATATTGGGCTTTCACTGCAGGGGGCACGGGTTCCTTCCCTGGATGGGGAACTAAAACTTGCATGCTGCATTGCAGCCAAAAAATAGGGAATAAATAGAAAATAAACAAATTTTAAAAATAAAGACAATGAAAGGGAATTCCCTGGCAGTCCAGTGGTTAGGATTCTGCACTCTCACACTGTGAACTAAGATTCCACAGGCACAGCCAAAAAAAAACCACAAAAACATAATGAAGTAAAGTCTGACAAGATCCAAGAAACTTGTCTAAATTTCCATATCCAGGTAGCAGGACTGCAACACTGTTCCTGGATTCAGGGCACTAAACTATCTGAGATGAATTGTTCAAGAGCATTGACACCCTCCCCACCCCTAAAGACACACACACACACACACACACACACACACACACAGAAGTGGAAAACTGCAAAGGAGGGAAAGGGACAGAAGCTGAATTCTATCTGCTCTCCTCTTTCCCCTCATACACGATTCTTCCCTTCTGCCTCCCTGACATGGAGTGGTGTTGCAGCAAAAACAGAGGTGAGTGAACAGCCTTTGGCACACACCAGCCAAACAGGCCTACAAGAGTTAAACAATCTCCATTATTCTTTATCTGTTACTACTAGCAAAAACTTGTAGCTGGACTTGTACTTCACAAAGCTAATGACTCTAACTCTGTATAGATTGCCCTCTAGACTTGGTATTCTTTCCCCCCTACACTCTCTTATAGCATTTTGCATTTCAGAAAGAAGGTCATGGGCTGATAACCTCAGGGAAACAAGACTGGTTTCTAAGTTGTCTGATGCCAGCTGTGGCCATTTTGAAACTCTGCAAGAGAAAAAAAAAAAAGCAAGACCTCCAAAAGGATATAAAACCTCTCCCTATTCCCAAGAAAGGGGAGCACAGTTCTTGAGGCACTAGTCTGCTGTGTTTCCCTTTTGCCTAGCAAAAATAATAAAGCCACTGTTTTCTGTTTCCTCCAAACTCTGTCTCCATATATCCATTTGGCATTGGTGGACAGGGAGCCAATATTAGAACCCTGTAATGGGTACAAATCCTTTCTGTGTCCCTGTTTTTTGTTTGTTGTAAAGAGACTTCAGCCTCCTAGACCTTCCCTGAGTGCCAAAGGGCAGGTTTAAACAGTTGCTAAACAGAAAAATGAGGGATGGCAGAAACAAAGGCGCAATCAAGAAATTATAGTACAATAACAAAGCAGGGGACTGGTTCCTCCTCAAGGAATATACCTAACAATATCTTTGAGTTCTTCTGCTGGAACTAAGGCCACCCCTGTGGAGAATAGTAACTTTAGGCTAAGCACCAGATTTCTGGAATAACCCTGTTACCTCACCACCAACCATTGAGAAGAAAGTCTGCACATAGTGGAAGATCAGGAAGACTCTGATCCCCATCTCCTTACTTACAGCCCCAAATGGTTAACTGCAGTTAGCTTCCCCGCTCTCTCCCTTTAAAAACATTCAGTTAGTGAAGAATCTTTGCAGAGTTGGTTCTTGGACAAGAGTCTGCCTTCAACCCAGGTTGCCCTCTAAATAAAGCAATCCTTTCTTTTCAATCAACACAAGTCTTTCCAGTGGGGAGCAGCCCAACCTGATTTGGGTCCACCCCTATCCCACCCCTGTTAAAAATAAGCCCTGACTTCTGTTCTTAGGTATATTAATTTGGAAGACAGCAACTCCTTAACAACCCCTTTCCCATAAAATTCTGTCAAAGTCAAACTCTGCTACATAATAAAGCAAATTTTCCTGAGTTATAACCAGCATGCACTCTAGAGCAAGTGTTCTTCTCCTAGATATGCTCTGACAATGTATTGGCAAGCATGGGGCATTCAGTGTTTTTCCGTTTGCAGTTTTGTTGTGGTTGTTAGGGCAGAAAGTGAAGAAGAACTAAAGATCCTCTTGATGAAAGTGAAAGAGGAGAGTGAAAAAGTTGGCTTAAAGCTCAGCATTCAGAAAATTAAGATCATGGCATCCAGTCCTATCATTTGATGGCAAATAGATGGGGAAACAGTGGAAATAGTGGCTGACTTAATTTTCCTGGGCTCCAAAATCACTGCAGATGATGATTGCAGCCATGAAATTAAAAGACGTTTACTCTTTGGAAGGAAAGTTATGACCAACCTAGACAGCATATTAAAAAGCAGAGACATTACTTTGTCAACAAAGATCTGTCTAGTTAAGGCTATGGTTTTTCCAGTGGTCATGTATGGATGTGAGCGTTGGACTATAAAGAAAGCTGAGCACAGAAGAATTGATGCTTTTGAACTGTGGTGTTGGAGAAGACTCTTGAGAGTCCCTTGGACTGCAAGGAGATCCAACCAGTCCATCCTAAAGGAGATCAGTCCTGGGTGTTCATTGGAAGGACTGATGCTGAGGCTGAAGCTCCAATACCTTGGCCACCTGATGCAAAGAGCTGACTCATTTGAAAAGGCCCTGATGCTGGGAAAGATTGAGGACAGGAGGAGAAGGGGACGACAGAGGATGAGATGGTTGGATGGCATCACCAACTCAATGGACATGGGTTTGGGTGGACTCCGGGAATTGGTGATGGACAGGGAGGACTGGCATGCTGCGGTTCATGGGGTCGCAAAGAGTTGGACACGACTGAGCGACTGAACAGAACTGAACTGTGGTTGTTAACTGTTTTGGCCCTGCCAGCGGCAAAAGTGAAAAAGTGAGTGTTAGTCGATCAGTCTTCTCCGACTCTTTGCGACCCTATGAACTGTAGCCCTCCAGGCTCTTCTGCCCCTGGAATTCTCCAGGCAAGTATACTGGAGTGGGTTGCCATTCCCTTCTCCAGGGGACCTTCCCCACCTAGGGATCAAACCCGGGTCTCTGGCGGGCGAGATCCTATTTCTCCCACCAGGAAGCGTTGAGGGACGTTCAGAGAATTTCCTGATTATGGTTTTAACAGTTGCTTTCCCGCAGATGTCTGCAGTTAGGTACTGCTATTTTTAACGCACCGGGGATACTACATCCTCTACTCAAAAAAGACTCTTTCTGCTCTTCCACTTTAAAAAACAAAAACAAAAACACGCAACCCGGACAAGTCGCTGGCAGATCAGCTTCCCCACCAAGCACACCCACCTCGCCGGGTTTGTGCCTGATTGGCTGGTGCCTGAAAGCCTTCCTTTGGCGGGCAGCTGAGGATGATTGGCTGCTGGAGACCCACCCCCTCGCCGATTGGGTGGCGGCAGCGAAGCCGGGGATTGGTGGAGCTAGCAAGTCGGGCTCTCTGCTGCTTGTGCTCCCGCTCCAGGGCCAAGGCAGAGATGGCGACTGCAGCTTGGTTACTGGGTCGGCGTGTGGCAAGCTGGAGGAAGCGACTACCGCTGCATTCGCTTGCTGGCCGGATTACGCAGCGGGCCAACTCGCTGTTGCCCGTGGACGATGCAATCAATGGGCTAAACGAGGAGCAGAAGCAGGTAGGGAGGCTCACCCTCCTTCTGCCCCTTATCCGTGGTCGGTGGTCACCCGGGCGCTCTTCTGCCTGGCACGCACCCAGTAGCGATGACTGTTCTAGGGGCTCGGAGCGCGCCAGCGCGGGGGCGGCCGCGGGCCGGAGCCTCCGGTCTGTGGAGGCACCAAGGCCTGGTTGCGGAAGTTAGGCGAGGAGTCCAGGACAGGAACGCTCCTGGGAGACAGGAGTGGGGGGAGCATGAGGGGATGTTTTGGTGAATCTGCAGAGGATTACCCTCGTTTGCCAATAGGGCCCTCAATCTCTTTGAAGGCCTCTTACACCTCAAAACTGCCTAAGGCTGTGGTTCTCAAACCTGGTTAATCATCACCATTAAATCTTGTTCAAATACACATCTTGGGGTTGGGGGTGAAGTTGAAATGCACAGGGGAGTCTGGCTATAATTCTTCAACCTATGGGGTCAAGCACAAAGCTGAAAAAAACTTGAAAGAGGTTGTTACAAATGAAGCAGAACCAGAGTTATTCCTGGTGGAAGGAGACTGTTCACTTGGACACTGGCTTGAACTCCCGAGAAATGCGATTCTCCTGTGGTCCTCAGCAAGTGCCTGAGTTTGCCGAGAACTCCAAAAATCCAGTTGCATTAGGCAGCAGTCCGAGCTTCGAGTCATCTCAGGCAGCAAGTCCTCAATCCCAGTCCACAAGATTTCCTGCCAGAAGGAGTCTCCTGCCAGAAGGAGTTTCTAATCTCTTGTTGTTGTTATCCCTGTCCTTCAATATCTCCTGGAGTTTGCTCAAACTCATGTCCATTGAATTGGTGATGCCATCCAACCATCTCATCTCATCTGTCATCCCCTTCTTCTCCCGCCTTCAATCTTTCCCAGCATCAGGGTCTTTTCCAATGAGTCAGTTCCTTGCATCAGGTGGCCAAAGTATTTGGAGCTTCAGCTTCAGCATCAGTCCTTCCAATGAGCATATGCTGTTTAGGTTTGTCATAGCTTTCCTTCCAAGGAACAGGCTCTAAGCTCTTTATGAATTATCTCTTTTAGCCAAAGGTTAATGGGCAAAAAAAAAGCCTGACCCATGCCAAGAACTGAAGGGAGCATGTCTGGAGATGAGAAGGGTACTGGGGAAGGCTGAAAGAGCTGCAGGGCTTACCTCACAGGGCCTTCGGGTCCTGGGTAAGGAGTTTGTCTCTTTTTTTTTAACAATTAAAAATTGAAGTATAGTTAATTTACGATGTTGTGCTAGTTTCAGGTGTATAGCAAAGTGATTCAGTTATACATATACATGTATAAGAAGTTGTCTTTTAAAGACAATGGGAGCCCATGGAATGATCTGTGTAGGGGAGTGACATTTAAAAAATAATCTTTAAAAAGAGAGGTGAGGATCACATCTAAGGAAGCATAAACTAGTGGGGCCTCTCAGTTTGATGCTGTTTGGTGAGGCTATTTGTGTCCTGTTTCTCTGAAGCTGTCCTCAGTAGCGGAGACACTGTCCTCAGCGGCAATTATGTATTGTTTCAGCAACATCCATCCACCTCTCTCCCTCTAGCTTCGTCAGACCGTGGCTAAGTTCCTTCAGGAGCATCTCGCCCCCCAGGCCCAGGAGATCGACCAAAGTAATGAGTTCAAGAACCTGCGAGTAAGTCGTGAGGCCCAGACTGAGAGGGACGGGGTGGGGGCAGTCTGGGAGCTGGACTGGGCTGGGCTGGGAATTGCACTGTTGCCTGGCAAGACTCACACAGTCTTCTGGTGAACAAAAGCCCCCTAAGAATGCAGCCCCTTTCTGGGAAGCCCTTGCGTCTCATTGTTCCAGAGGTGCCTGGCACCTGTGACTGGCTGCCTTCTCACAACCCACTGTGCGTCTTGGTTCTGTTGGCAGGAGTTTTGGAAGCAGCTGGGGAACCTGGGAGTCTTGGGCATCACAGCCCCTGGTGAGTGTGGTTTCTTTCCCTATAGAGCTTTTTTTTGCATGTCCTTTAACACATTTCCCAAAGAAGAAGGAAAGTAGAGGAAAGGTCTTACTCAAAGTAACCCAGAGTCTCCTCCTTCTTGGACCTGAGAAAGTACCTATTAAGTCACCCAGAAAAGAATAAACTGCTCTGTTTCTTTAGGCAGTGATCAGTGTGGTTTACCCAGACTCTTGAAATCTACACACTTAAGCAGTTCCCTCAGATGATCTGGGGAGCTTAGAAAACTCCAGATCAAGCAGTGATCTTAATACCTCAGGCTTACTGCCTCCCCTAGTCCCTAAGTTCTGCCCTACCAGTAGTGTGAAGGCAGAACCACTCAGGGCAGTGTGTCCCTGTGGGGGATGCCTGTGTGTCCTCTGCCCACAGCTTGACCCAAGAGCTCATTTGGAAGCAGACTGGGGGGTGGTTGGGAAGAGGGACACCCATCTGAGCCTCCATGTGAGGTGGCCAGATGGTGTATTTAATAGACTATCCCAAGGCCTATCCAGAGTCCCCTATAGGCCTTACTACTTGTTTCCAGGAGATGAGGGCAAGGAGCTGGTGGGCTTTGTTTCGGATGTTAGCCTCTGATGCAAAGGCCGGCCTGGCTTACAGTGCCCAGTAAAGAGATGAGCCTGCAGCTTTGCCAGCCAAAACCTGGATGGCCCACCCTGCTCTGGCCTATGTTCACTGGGCATTAGAGTAAAGGTGGACCACAATATTCTCCTTACACCCTCCCCTCACCACTTGGAGACAATTCTTAGGATTTTAAGCTGATTGTAGAAATTTTACATCATGAGTAATGATGTAACCACTTAAAAATTAATTTAGACTTAACGCACTTCTTAAGCTCTCTGAGTAGTGGATGCTCAGGTCTTCTTGTCTTCATTAAGAGGTCTGTCTGAGATAGGGAATTCCCCAGTGATCCACTGGTTAGGACTCTGCGCTTTTACTGCCAAGGGCCCAGGTTCAATCCCTGGTTGGGGAATTAAGATTCCAAAAACTGCATGGTGTGGCCAAATAAATAAATAAAATCATTTTTAAAAACAGCCCTGTTTGGGATAAATCAGGAGTTGCAATGACTGTTTTCTGAACCACACCTTAGTTGACTAGAGGCAGCAGAAAAAACTAAAACTAGTCCTGTGAGCTTGCAAGCAGGGTTCACAGCCATCAGCCTATTGACTTTGCTAGAGGGAACTTGGAATAGGTGCTGTCACAGTATTCCTCTACAGCGTGTAAGGCAGTATCTTCATTTAACCTGGTCTGCCTTTTCCACTCCCCTGCACCCCCCCCCACCCCCCACCCTCAGTTCAGTATGGTGGTTCTGGCCTGGGCTTCCTGGAACACGTGCTGGTGATGGAGGAGATATCCCGAGTGTCTGGAGCAGTGGGGCTCAGTTACGGAGCCCACTCCAACCTCTGTATCAACCAAATTGTGCGGAATGGAAACGAGACCCAGAAGGAGAAGTACCTCCCCAAGGTGAGGAAGTGGGGCTGGAGGAACACACCACCATGAAGCTCCTCTCCCACTGGGGAGGGCTGGTCAGACCTGCTTTCTGTAGCGGGCTGCCCTGAATCTGCTAGGGCTAGGAAGGGGTCAGAGATTTGCTTTAAAATGCTTCAGTCAAAAAAAATAAATTAAACAGGGCCAGAACACCCAAGTCGTCACTGAACAACATTTACTTGAGCACTTTAAGAAACAGAAGCCTCAGACTAGCTTCCCTTGCAAAGGGAATGATGGGAAAAGGAGAGAGAGCTTCAGCTTTGTGGATACAGGGCTTCTCTTCTAGGACTTTTCCTGTACCCGGATCTGAGAGGACTTGGAGGGGTGTCACATGACCAGGCAAGATATGGTCCCAGTGAGCCCCTACTGGGTACTTCAGGTCATAATGAGACCCTTTGGGGTTTTTCTTGCAGCTGATAAGTGGTGAATACATCGGAGCCCTGGCCATGAGTGAGCCCAATGCTGGCTCTGATGTTGTCTCCATGAAGCTGAAAGCAGATAAGAAAGGTGAGGCTGCTCTTGATTTGGGAGCTGAAATGGGCAGAGGGACAGACCAATGGGTTGACTGGAGGTGCCTCTGCTGGGTTTCCAGAAGCGTTTGCCAGCTGGACAGTTTTTTGTGAACAGAAGTGGTGGTGGACTGACTGGCTAAGACAGGTCCACACCGCTTGTGCAAGTAGCCAACTTCCTCTCCTTCAGTTCAGTTCAGTTGCTCAGTCACGTCTGACTCTTTGCGACCCTATGGACTGCTGCATGCCATGCTTCCCTGTTCATCACCAACTCCTAGAGCTTGCTTAAATTCATGTCCAACAAGTTGGTGATGCCATCCAACCATCTCATCCTCTGTTATCCTCTTCTCCTGCCTTCAATCTTTCCCAGCATCAGGGTCTTTGCCAATGAGTCGGTTCTTTGCATCAGGTGGCCAAAGTATTGGAGTTTCAGCTTCAGCATCAGTCCTTCCAATGAATACTCAGGATTTATTTCCTTTAGGATTGACTGGTTTGATCTCTTTGCTGTCCAAGGGACTCTCAAGAGTCTTCTCCAACACCGCAGTTCAAAAGCATCAACTCTTTGGTGCTCAACTGTCTTTACAGTCCAACTCTCACATCCATACGTGACTGCTGGAAAAACCATAGCTTTGACTAGACGGACCTTTGTTGGCAAAGTAATGTCTCTGCTTTTTAATATGCTAAGTTTGTCATAGCTTTTCTTCCAAGGAGCAAGTGTCCCTTAACTTCATGGCTGCAGTCACCATTTGCAGTGATTTTGGAACCCAAAAAAATCAAGTCTCTCACTGTTTCCATTTGTTTCCCCATCTATTTGCCATGAAGTGATGGGACCCGATGTCATGATCTTAGTTTTTTGAATGTTGAGTTTTAAGCCAATTTTTTCACTCTCTTCTTTCACTTTCATCAAGAGGCTCTTCAGTTCTTTGCTTTCTGCTATAAGGGTGGAATCATTTGCATATCTGTGGTTATTGATATTTCTCCCGGCAATCTCCTTAGGAGATCACTATGTCCTGAATGGCAACAAGTTCTGGATCACCAATGGTCCTGATGCAGATGTCCTTGTTGTCTACGCTAAGACTGATGTGACTGTTGTGCCAGCTTCTCGGGGCATCACAGCCTTCGTTGTGGAGAAGGTGAATGTGGGGGAGTTATGGTGGGAGGCTGAGAATGGCACCAGCGATGACCTCTTTCAAGTGATCACACAGACCATCAGTGTGGTGCGCTCTGCCAAGCCTCCCTCCTGGGATGGGAATGGGGCAAGAGAGGAGACTGAAGGGAGGGTAGCCAAAACGTGGAGTCCAGGGAGGAGGGGTCAAATCCGAGGACAGTGGAATCATCCACAAAGCCAGGCTGTCTGGACGTCCTGAAAGATGAGGGCCATCGGGGTGTCAGGGGTGTACCTGGAGCGAGCCGCCTGCGGGGTGAGTCTGGAGGATGCTGGTGGAGACCAGAGACTGCACCTTCCAAGTCTTGTCAGTAGAGGCACCGGGGAGACGGCAGGAGTTAGAGTGAAAAGTTGGCAGTTTCAGTTGGCTTTTAGCAATGGGAGAGAACTGAACCTTTTTTTTTTTTTTTTTTTTTGGTAAAGAGAAAAACAAAATAGGAGAGAGAGAAAGTGAGATGTGTGAGAGCGAGTAAGCAAAGCACAATGGTGAACTGAGGGAGAGGAAGCAGGGCGGGGTGGGGGGCCAGTGTTAGTGGAGGAACCAGCTGCCTAATGGTTCCTAAGGAGGAGGCCAGGGCCCCGGGGAGGGTGGACAGGGGAGTGGACAGTTTCAAGAATGAGTGTTGTAAAGGTTTCCAGTATCCTGCATGGGGAGAGGGTGGAGATTGTCCAACAGGGACTGGAGAACAAGAAAAGTGAGTAGCCCAAAGGACACGGCCGAGACGAGAACTCTCCTGGCTGAGCCGAGGTGCTCATGTCTCCTAGAGGAAAGCGATGTGCCCTCCTGGAGGGCAGATGCAGATGCCCCTGCTGGGCACCTGCCTGACTGTTCTGCATCTGATGCGTGCAAAGCACACTGGATCGAGTTGATCCCAGTAGGGACTCCATGAGGTGCAAGTGGCAGAGGGACAAGGGGGCAAAGGAACTGAGTGGGCCGGGGCAGTGTCTTAGAAGTGACTTCCCCAGAGGAAAGGAACCACAACCAGGAAGAGTCAGAAGGGCCCTGGGGATCAGGTAGTTAACTGGGAGAAAAACTGCTCCTGTGAGAACTGGGGGAAATGCAGCCAACAGCAGGGAGGCTGGGGTAAGGTGTTAGGGCTGGCTTCTCCAGGAATAGGGCAGTCACATACAGAGTAGGGGCCTGGTGAGTAGAACGCTGGTGTATCAGGCAAGGATGGGGACTGGATGGAAAGATGGATACTTCCCGGGGTCTTCCTTTTCCTTGGCCTCCTGGCGGGGGAGGCGGGGGGCAGGTTGCTCTGTAATTAGGACCTCCTTTTATTCCCATAAAGGGGATGCCGGGCTTCAGCACCTCCAAGAAGCTGGACAAGCTAGGGATGAGGGGCTCCAACACCTGTGAGCTGGTCTTCGAAGACTGCGAGGTTCCTGGTGAGTCTGTGAAAATGAGGGAGTCCCTGTCCTGACCCCGTCACATGCTGAGAAAGCCTGACTCTTAGTCAGAGAGCCTCACCAGTGTTAGCTCACCAACCACAAGTGGCCATCAGTAGGCCTGCCACTGGGCCCTGGCCCACGAGCCCAGAGGTGTGGGTCTCAGGCTGGACAGTTGTCCTTCCCGGCCAGAGCCCCTGCGGCTGCATGCCCGACTGTGGCTGCAGGGATGGGTGGTTTCCTGTGTGGACACACACCGTGCCTGGGGCTGGCAGTGCAGTCTCTGGGGTAGAAGGGTAAGCTCTGCCCTCCCCCACTCTCATCCTTTGGACTGCCTTATACGTACACTTGCCTATGGAGCCAGTGTGAGGTAATCATTAACGACACTGAAAAGCCATCTGAATAAATGGGTGGAACTAGACTCGGTGAAGGAAAGGCAGTTCAGTCTATGAGTGTTTCTGCCCTGAAGTGAAAATGTGCCATGCTGTGGGAGAGCCAGCAGCCCCGTGATGCTCTGAGGAGATGGACGGCACAGACTTGATCAGTTAGACTGGCTCTGTGCCTCAGCCAGAAACCATCCCTTCCCTGCTGCGATCCACCATCTGAGAGAAGGCACTTTGGTTATAAAGTGCATCTAGGGAGGGGTGATCGGTGCACACTCTCCTCTGTCAGCAAGAAAAAACTCCACTAGCGTTAAAGATGGGGCAGGGGTGTCAACCCTTTGCACTCAGCTTCCTGCCCACAGCCCCCCAGGCTACCCAGTGTCCTCGCTTCCAGAGTGGGGATGTGCTCAGCCCGTCACCAGCTCCAAATGGCCCATCTCCTGGACAGCTTCATCCATGGACCTCACTGGGGAGGAAGGAGGGTTGTATTGACCACTGGGGAGGAAGGAACAGGTTATGTTGAGATGGGGCAAATTTTTCTACTGGCTTGTGAGAGAGCCCTGTTACTAAACCCAGCAGCTTTTCTAAAAATGAAGAGGCTATGGACTGCTCACTCCCCTCTGACCGGTACTTTTCCCCGTAGCTGCCAACATCCTGGGCCACCTAGGTAAGGGTGTCTACGTGCTGATGAGTGGGCTGGACCTGGAGAGGCTGGTGCTGGCCGGTGGGCCCCTTGGGTGAGTGCAAGGGATGGGGGTGGGGGGGTTGTCACAGTTCCTTGGCAGGTGGCCCCACTGCCGCTTCCCCTTGGGGGCCCACGGGAGCCACCTCCTGGCTGCTGCGCATCCTCTCCTAGAGGCAAAAAAGTTACCTTTCCTGTCACATGTGCTTTCTTTGCACTGAAGGCAAATATCATTAGGTGACAGACAAAAAATCTGAGGAGCCAGCCTGACTAGTTGCTCAGAACTTGAAGCAGGATGCCTGGGTTACGTCTCTGCAGGGTCCCACCACACCACCTGCTCTCGGGGGAAGGGACACAAGTGCTGGGCAGTCAGTGCGGTGACTGGGCAGGGGTGACAAGCATCCTCAGGCTCCTGACTCCTGCCTCAGATGCCAGCTCCTTGTCTCACCTGGCTGCCCCCCCCACTTCAGGCATTTCCACACTAGCATTCCCCCCCCACACACACACACACAACCGGCAGTGGGATGACAGCGAAGCACCTCCTCAGTGTTTCTCTCCTTCTTGCAGGATCATGCAGGCCGTCCTCGACCACACTATTCCCTACCTGCACATGAGGGAGGCCTTTGGCCAGAAGATAGGCCACTTCCAGGTGAGTGGGATGGTTTTGTGAAGATGTACTCATTCTTTGGTTTCAAGTTTTAACAAATGAGCAAATGGGGCATGTGCTGTGGGTATTTACTCTTCTTCATCCAAAAATGAGCTTGAGGAAATTCCCTGAGTCCTCTGCACTGTACTGCAGGGGACCTAGGTTCAATCCCTGATCAGGGAACTAAGATCTGGCAAGCCTCAGCAAGATCCACCAAGCCTTAAGGTGTAGCATAAAAAAAACAAAAATGAGTTTGAATACTCAGCCTGCTACCTGGCTTTGGAAGCTGTCAAGCAATCCGTCTCCTGTCACCTCCCTGCTTGTTTGAGGTGAATAACCTAGGAGGGTTGGAGGGTGAAGCCCAGTTGGTTGTGGGGAGGGAGTAACATTTCAAGGCACGCTTTCTGGTCTGTGGGCAGACAACCAGGTCTGCGATTCAGCGGCAGCTCTCTGGCCTGAACTCCAGGCCTGCTGCCGTGTCTGCCCTCCTAGGCAAGTCCCATCGCCTCTCTGAGCCCAAGAGCCCCCAGTCCTGGCTGTTAGGTTGCTACTGCGGACAAGGGAACAATTCTGAGAGGAGTGTGTCTCCAGCACACTGACCTGTGACCTCCTTTTGTGCATAGTTGATGCAGGGGAAGATGGCAGATATGTACACCCGCCTCATGGCTTGTCGTCAGTATGTCTACAATGTTGCCAAGGCCTGTGATGAGGGCCACTGCACTGCCAAGGTGAGGGCCGGCCCCAGGGGATGGCACACACCAGAGCAGGGGCGGAGTTGGGCCCCCTCCACGCGGTCCTGGCTGACCCCGCTAACCCGGAGCCTCTGCCCACAGGACTGTGCCGGGGTGATTCTTTACTCGGCTGAGTGTGCCACACAGGTAGCCCTGGACGGCATCCAGTGTTTGGGTGAGTGCCCCCTGCTCCCCACTGCCAGAGCCTGTGGCCACCTCCAGGAAGAGGCTCCTCTCCACTCCTCACCCTGTGCTGCAGCTGAACTGTACTTTCAGTACAGTTATGGGGAGGACATGGAAAAGCAAATGGGAAACCACCAGAGGCCACAAGTTGCTACTGTCTTCAGCAGTGCCCTCCTCTCATCTCCCAGCCTGGTCCTGTCACTGGGAAATGGGGGAAAGGAGACACTTCAGAGGTGGAACAGCCTCAGTTCACTGCCGCACAGTGGTTAAGAGTGCAGGCTTGGGCCAGATGGCTGGATTCAAATCCTGGCTCTGCCACTGACTGGCTTTGTGACTTGTGCAAGTTACTTCCCCTCTTTGGGCCTGGCACCCAATAAGTACTATGCAGTAGTTTCCTGCCCTCCCCCCCTTCTCCATGTCTGCCAGTGGTTCCCCTGCCTCTGCCTGGCATCCTCAGCACTCTGCGTGGCCTCCCGGCCACCCCCCCCCACCCCTGTCCACCCTCCCTCTCACCACCTTTTGCTGCTTCTCTTCAATCAGCCTCTCCTCCTGGCCCACTTCTAGATGCTTGATCTTGTGTGCTTCCCCTGCTTTGCCCACTGCCTATCACTTTTCCCATTGTCCTTCTTCTCTGCCCCATGCATGGTTGCAGGTGGCAATGGCTACATCAACGACTTTCCCATGGGCCGCTTTCTGAGAGATGCCAAGCTGTATGAGATCGGGGCTGGGACCAGCGAAGTGAGGCGGCTCGTCATCGGCAGAGCTTTCAATGCAGACTTCCACTAACCCTGAGACCTTTCACCCCGCTTCCCAGCACCTTGAGGCCTTTCTCTGGAAGGACAGCTGCCGCAGGTCTCCTCCCAACAGGCCCCACCCGCCAGCCCAGGAGAAGTGTGCAATGACTTAACATGGACACCTCAGGAAACAGGCTGGCTTCTCCGGGGCTTTAGTGACTGTGCCCTTGCTCTCTGACTTCCGAGCGTGGTGCTCCCCCTCCCAGGAGGAGCACCTTTTCCTCGGATGAGCCTGTGCCAGGGAACCCTCTGCTCAAGTACACTAGAAGTGTTACCAAGTTCATTAATTTGAACTTGGTAGTCTCTTTTCTTTATGGGGAAAAATACCCACAAAACCTAGCCTTTGTTTCTGCCAGTTTCTATGGGGCACTAGCTTTCAGCAGTGTGTGAGTGGGCACTCCCACTGCAGCCTCCTCTGTCCCTCATTTTTTAGAGCTGGAATTCCATCACTCTGGGGCAGACCTCTAGGAACAGGCATTTCAGAACACCTGTGCCACCCAGAGTCCACAGTGGGCAGAGGTCCACATGCTTGTGAAGGCCAGGCTCAATGCCTCCAGCACTACCCTGCCAGTGCCACTGTCCATTTCTGGCCATGTGACAGCCCCCAGCTGACTGGGCAGCAGGCCTGGGTTGGCTGGCTCGACTCCAGCCAAGGCTGCCTGCGCACATTTCTCTGGACCCCCATGGCTAATTTTGTTACCAGTCCACAGTGGCTGCTGCCATTTTGTATTAAACATATCATGAAACAAACCCATCTGCTTCTAAACTGGTGTGCTGGGGGAGAAGCAGTCTACTTGTCCCTGCCTTCTGTCTGGCTCCAGCCCTGTGTCCTTGGAGTGCAGCTGATCCAGGCCCTGCTTCCAGCCTGCTCACTGCTGATGGGAAATGCAAGGGTGGAGTCAACCCACAGGAGAGAGGAGTGCTCAGTCCCCCTTTTCCAGATCTTGCAGTGATTTTTAAAGAAAGGAGGGAGCCCAGAGTAGAAAGAGTCTTGGAGCCAGAGGAAACTTATAAATTGCTGGAAACCATCCCCATGTTTTTTTTTTAAAGATTAAGACAATTTGGTTTTCCCCAAATCAGAACTGGAGCTAGAATCCAAATCAGCAGAAATAGGGGTTTTGAGAATGCCAGCCTGGAGCCCCACTGCATGGCCACTTGGATGGAACACAGTCAGGGTATGACAGTTTTGGGTTGTCCCACTCCATCTAAGGTCCCTAAAAGAGACCTGGTTTTCTTGGTCTGCAGCCTAGCAGCGCCTGTTCTGACTTTCGGTCCTGGCCTTTAGCCAAGAGCTGTTCCCAGCCTGACACTCATGACAGGTGCTGTCAGCTCCTTGCCAACCCAGCCCAGTCCTGCGCTGAGGGGCTTGTGGCCCTGTCCCTTCACTTTCCCACCCTGCTCCCTACTGTGTTGGAGATGAATGTGGCTAAAATGGTGGTCTTGCTGGGCTTAAAATGTAACTAGGGACTTCCCTGGCAATCCAACGGTTAAGACTGTGCTTGCAATGCAGTGGGTGCAGGTTTGATCCCTGGTTGGGGAATTAAGATCCCACATGGCGCATGGTACAGGCAAAAAATAAATAATAATAAATTTGTAAAAATAATGAAGTGTAGCTGGAAGCCCAAAGACATCAGAATGGGGTATTTCAGCCAGTCAGTGAGGATAACGTAGCTCTGCCTCCAGCGTGGGGAGAGCAATGATTTTCCAGATGCTATATGTGAAATAAAAATATTTTAAAATAAAGCCAAAAAAGTGAAGTCTGAGTTGTGAACAATGGGAAAGCAGGGGCCATGCGGTTCTTGGAGTGTGGGGTTGATTACATGCATTGTGCAACTCTGCAGTGCCAGCTGCCAGCACCACTCCTTCCTGGGGCTGCCTCCTTCCACTCCAGTCTTAGGCAGGTCACTATCAGCCCAATTCCCCTGCTGACGACCATCCCGTTCTTTGTTTTCCTACTTGCCTGTCTGTCCTGACGGCAACAGAAGCTAAGGGAATGGTTTTCCAAGTGTGGTCTGGGCACACCCTTTATCAGAACTTGGCAACCTGTAAAAAAAAACAAAAACAAAAAACGGATTCCTACATGGGCCCCAGACCTAATCACACCTCCAGGGATAATGAGGAGGTACAGGCAACCTTTTAAGAACAGCTGAGCTGGGGCCTAGAGGACACGCCTCCAGAGGCCTGAGTAACAAACTCATATAACCTGGTATGACGCTTCTTCACCTATATAAATATTTCAAGTCTCATTTTGACATACTAACTCCTTGATCATGACAACCCGGTGCAAGACACAAAGGTTAGCGCCGGGCCCGCTTCCAGAAGATGAGTGAGTTGCCCATCGTAGGCGATAAAACCGTAGGTGAACCGGCCACGCCCAGACGTGGAGCCAAGGCTGGTGTCAGCCAAGCGTGGGGGACTGAGAAGGAGCGCCTCTTTTTTATTTGGGGAAGGACGCCCAGTCCACGTCCGCCTGACGGAACCGAGACCCAGGACGCTCAGTCGAGAACCCCAGCCTAGGACAGGTACAGGGTCCAGAGCCCTCCCTCTGCCAAACCGTCTCCCCCGAGGCGTCGCGCGCACCGCGGAGCTCGGCTCTGGCTCGCGAGCTCGGGCTCGGGCGCGGCTCCGCCAGCCCTGCGTGGAGCTCTCCTGACCCCTGTCGGCTGCCCGCCACAACTACAAGGTGCTTGCGACTGGCGGTTCCCATCCTCGTATTTCAAGAGGCATAGAGCTCAACAACAGCCGGCTATTCTCTATCTTGTATGGCTTCATACAAGAAAGGCCATTTTTTATCAATTTAAAATTTAAAAAGAACATAAATTGAGAACAAAGGCCGGTTTGGGCGGGGGTGGGGGTTATTTGTTTTATGTGAATGGTTTTTGAACTATGATAATTTAAAGAAACAAAAACTGCAAACCCTCCCCTCCACCCGATTCCACGGTGAAACTCCTTTTGAATCTTCAAGAGCTTTCTGTTGGTAATTCATTTCATGCTTTTAAGCGATATGGCTACTTTACTGGTTTAATTGCAGATAGATCTTTAAAGTGCACACGTTTGATTTATAAGAAGTTCACTACATTCCTCATGTCCACAGGCCAGCGTGTGGGGCCCTGGGTTCAGATGATTCAAAGCCCCATCCACATTTCTGGCTGTCCCTGCCTCTGTCCACACTAGTTCCAGAGGGGAGCCCCGTGTGATGCACCTGGTCAATCTGGCAAGGAGCTGTTCCTGAAAATGGCCTCTCCTGCACCCACCACCCACTCTCAGACACAGCTAGCCTATCAGAATAGTTCTTTAATCCACAACAAACTGACAACTTGCCTGTCTTCTTCCAATCCACACACCTCAACCCTTCCTCTGTATTGAGCTAGGGTAACTATCAAGCCCCCCTAAAGCCTCCAGTGGCTCCCAGCACTTATTAAGATCTAAGGTTTGCAAGGCAAATGCAACCCTGATCTGTCTTGGTCATCCCTTCCAGCTGCTCCTCTCCCATCCCGGCTGAGTACTTGTATTCTGGTTGGAAACAGTCCTCCTGAGGAAGCTTCTTACCTTGTACCTTTGCTCCAGCTTATCCCTCTGCAGAGGATGTCCTAGCCCTTCATCTTGGTCTTGTTTCCTCATCCCCGAAGCTTCAGTTCAGGGACTACCTCCTTCAGGGAGGCCTCCCTTCTCCAACCTTTCCCAGTCCTCTGTCCCCATCTCACCCATCCTGAGTGGGGCCTCTTCCTGCTTCTCCTGGGCATCTCTACATCAGGGGCTTTCCCCACAGTCCTATTTATCTCATCTGTGTCTGTTTCCATGCATTAGACTAAGAACTTAAGGGTCAGGGTTGTGATTGAACTGCTTTTTTATGTTCACTATCCAGCACAGTTTCTGGCACATAATAGGTGTTCAACAAACATTTATTGAAAGTGCAAATGAGAAGTCATGTGATACTTAGCTCACATTTTGCCTGTATTGATACCATAGTTATTTGTATATGTGATTACCTCTGTATATGGTACAGATCTTTGAGGTCAAAAACCATTTCTCACTTATCTGAACCCTCCCAACAGCACCCAGTACTCACAGTAAGTGCTCAGTGGCTATGTTCATGCTGAATGAGTGAAACAACAGGTGGGCCAGAGCCCTGGCCTAATCCCCAGAGTTGGCAAAGATAGCAGAGCCGGCCGGTCTCGCCTGGCCCTGTTTCCCCCAGGCCTTCCCACTCTGGAGTAGCAAAGCCCAGCTGCAGAGGGAAGGCCCTCACCTCCCATAGTCCTCTGACTCCCTCAGAAACAGAAAGGAACTGTGATGAGGGACCCTGGCCCCCTCTCTGCCAGCTGAAGACAAGCGTAGAGATTGGATATGAAAAGAGGACAGAGTCAGGACACACACCATCCATTTTTTTCCTTAAATAAAACATATAGTAGTGAATATATACAGAAAAGTATATAACATGTATGTATGCAGTGTGAAAAACGACAATAAACTCTTTTGTACCCAGCACCCAGGCCAATGAAGAGAACATTCCAAGTATTTTAGGAGCCTGTGTGCCTCACGATCCTGAATTTAGTGACAGTCCTCTCCTCACTTTTCTTTATGATTTCCTGCGTCTGTGTGTCTCCCTTAACAGTATTATTTTGATCATCTGTTTAAGCTTTGTGCAATGGGACTCGTGCTAAATATATTCATCTGTCTTGCTTCTCTGGCTCATCATTGTGTAGTTTTTAGAGATTCATTCCTGTTAATGAGTGGTGCTTTAATTTGGTCACTTTTGCCCTGTATCATATTCCATTGTGTGAAAATACTACAATTTAATTATCCATTCTTGTGTTGATGGACATTTGGGTGGGTTCCAGTTTGGGGCTATTCTAAAATATTCTGTATGTGTCTCCCGGTTTACATGTGCGAGTCTCCAGGTACATTCCCAGGAATGGGATTTCTATGTTGTAGGTATATGTGATCACCTTTATTAAGTAATTCCGAATTGTTTTCCAAAGCTGTTGTGTG